AGGTATACAATCATTAAGATTAAATCAAATCAAATCATTAATAATTAAACATCAGTTGTACTTCTATTTGTAGACTGCTTTCCTACTATACCAGTTCTGTCTCAATCCTAAAACTTGTTTGTATTCTGCTGATTGCTTGATTTGGTCATTTGTAGGTCCACGTTTAGTCACAGTGCTGAAAAAATGCTCCATAATAACAATACTAAACGTGATATTCATTCCACCAGAGTATATGTGTTAATGCGAACAATTTATTTATTGACAAATTCAACAGACAAAAATATTCGAATAAGAACTTCCTACGAGTACGCAACAAGACCCCTCGGTACACCATGGAAATCATAACCAAAACAAACTTCCACACCACTTCCACTTCTTTTGAAAAATTAACGGTTATTTAGAGTGCAGTGACTGTCGATCTTATAAAACCTAATTTCGAATTATTATTCCTTCCAAGCTTGCAATGAACTTAATTATATCACGGAGGTGCCCCAATATTTTTATTCCGTCGAATGTTGTCACGTGATAATCTGGATAATATTACTAGAAGAATTGGAATGGACCAATTGTCAATTATTAACTTAAGCATAAAATAAAGGAGATATTTTCTGAAAGCAGATGGGGTGGGGGATTACAAAATATAATTAAATGAATCTCAGACATTTATTAGTATCTACTACACGTAGTGGTCTGAATGTGAATGTGAAAAGTTAATTCCTTCAGTCTCACTGTCGGTAGCAGATCACTGATATTCTCGCATTGTTTTCAAAAACGAACTTTCGAATATCCGTTTGACTTTGATCACTCTATTCACCGTTACCAGAATATGTATACTTACCGATTGTGACGAACCACTAGGGAACTCGCTGGAACCACCGACGTTTACTTGTGACTGAACGCACTGCAACATTACGATTGTAGAAACAATAAACATAATCGTTATTATTTGAAATGACGCCATGTTCTTAAGTGCCCAGACATCAACTTCTCGTGCGGATATATATTTTAGTCCTGTTTACAGTAACGGTGAAGACTAGTTACACAACTTCCTCATTTGTCTGTTGCAGGGTCTGTTGCGAATCACGATTCTTATGATCACGTGACCCGATTTGCATATTTTGCATATGTTAGTGTACTATCATATATTTATTTATGTATTTATTCAATAACACTCACGCATCCCTCTGAGGGGATGGGAAAGGTTACAACTATAAAAAATGCAACATGAATAAATAAAAAACACAATTCAGGGACACAAAGACAAACACACACACACATACACAAACAAAACAAGGGGAAAAAAGCCACCTATGATTTAACCTTGCTTGTTTTCTATCCTGTTTTTATAAATTTTGTAGGTTCATACTGGAAATTAATTTAGTAATCAGCCCTATGGTGATTTATTATTGAAATTGTGGATGTGTGCATTGACAATGCTGAATAGATCTTTTCTGAGATCCTTGGTTTCATCTTCCACCTGATTTTGTCACATATTCTGTCACTCAGAGGGATTTTTTGTGGTAGCCAACTTCAATATTAAGGGTTTGGTCACTCAGACTCAGAGACAGACTCGGAAATCTGTGATTTTTAGTTTTTTAAGATAGGCTTCCAAGATGAAATTTGGTTTAAAAGTTCTGCTGACTTTTTTCCCCATTAGTTGAGGCTCTATTGTCATTGAAATTTTTTCAAATTTTCAACTTGAAAATAAAAGAGGTTGTTGTGGATTTCGGTAGTTTGAGATGGATTCATTTTATCTGATGTATGAATTAGATAGTTTCAGTTTGCTTGGTGTTATTCGGCCAAGAAGTTATTCCATATACCATTTGGTTCTAATTGCTGTTTTAACCAAAGCTTCCTTAAACAGTGAGTTTGTAGAATTCTTGACTCGTTTAAAATATGTAAGACGAATATATCGAGCTCACTATGAATTCCCATTATGAATGTATTTTGAGAGTCAAAAACTTATATGGACATCTTCGGGATTTAATATATAATATAATCTCTATGACTTTCCTGTGTGTGTTTATTTATTCCCATCGTGACCGTGAACACAGTACTAGTAAAAATTCAGACACATTCATTGAGGCCCGAGGAACATTAGATATATGAGACTAAGAAATCTGATAGTCATGACTTATAACAACTACTGAATCCCCACAGCGTCATTTTTATTTGCAGAAGGGTCTAGACGCGATAATACGTTCGCCGAATGCCATATACCCTTCTCCTCATCATCCAATATTGCATTTTGGTGAGATTCATTATTATTTGAATCATTCTCGCTAACCAGAGGGTGATTTCGTGCTACTAGATTGAAAAAATAAAAGGAAGTCATATCCATAGTATTATCCACAAACTCCGAACAGTTCTATACCGATATGCGCTACTTATCATGTGCAGCCCTGTCACATTCTCGACCCCCCCCCCCAGCGTATTTTTTCCGCCCCACTCAAAAAAATACTTTGAGGCAACCATCAGTTGCCGAAAGAGGGCGTGGTTTGCGACGATGCACAGAAAGATCTTTGGGAAGGAGATCGGTTTCGAACATCCGGTGTCCTGACATAACATCCGGGATATGACAACGACAGCAGACGACGGAATAAAAGATGGCGTCTTCCTATTTGCGAAATGCATTATGTTGTCTTATACTGGTAATCTGTGAGCGGTAAGTCACTTCTGAAATTATTTGACAACACATTTTGAAAACAATGCCATTCTCACTAAAATCTGCCCAGTCACCCCAAACATTTTTACCAACAAGGACATGTGCATTTTTCATATCAAGACAGAAATAGCTGCAACAGGGTTGATGTTTTGAGTTTTGTTTCCCATGATGCATTAGAATAGAAAGCCCTAGCTCTCTTGTTTATTAGTCACTCCAATTACTATTTGTTTATTCAAGTTAGAGATTTGTCTAAGTTAGACAAAGGGGGGTACTTGCAAAAAATACCGACAGGGGTGTGTAGCTGGTGGTTTGAGACCCCTACCCCTTATCAGACAGAAGTAAACTCCTGCCTACCCCTTTTCAGTCAAACTGTGGATATTTGACACCCCTTTCCAGACAGTAAGCACAAATGGTACCAAGGGAAAAGCAGGTGGACTCCCCGGGATGGACTTTGATGATTGAAATGAAATTACAGAATAAAAAAATCAGCTTCATTCTCCCGATTGTTGGATCACTCAATCACTCAAGCCTGAGAGACAGTCTTTGGAAAATATGGACCCCTTTTTCAACAGCAATAATGAAAAAAGGATACCCCTTTTCAGACAGGGTAAAATAACATACCCCTTTTCAGACAGTGTCGTGGCCTGTGGTAAGGCAGAGATGAAACAAACCAAAGTTTGCAGGAACAATCGATAGACTTTACTTTATTCAAAACATGGCTTCACCAACCGACAGGTACAATGCGCATGTGTGAACTACAAGCGCGGGAAATATGCTAATAAGACCAATATACTACATTCCTCTACCCTTAGCTAAAAATTACATTTTGTTTCACAAAACTAATTTTTATAACACCATACAGAAGTAAATGCTTAACGCAAAATTTTAACAAGACTGTATGTATAAAAAGCACATACAAAACAAGTACATCAACATTTGTTTAAATGCAACTACTTTTAGTATCTGTCAATACAAAATCTTTAAATCTTTCTGGTATTTTTATTTCTCTTCTTTGTCTACTCACTGCAATACTATCTTTCTCAACGTTACCCCTTTCACTACTGGGTGTAACATGTACAGAAACAGGATTAGAGTTTTCTACAGTATTGTTTTCAATAACAGGTTTATGACTAGTAGAAATAGCACTTGTACTAGTAATATCACTCGGTGAAACTTCCACTGATATTACAGGATTTGGACTATTAGTATTTGATAATTCAATTGAAGTTGACTCAAAATGTTTAGAACCAATATGATCAATATGGCGACGAACCCATCGACCATCAGACAATTTCACTGTGTAGATACAGGACCCGACTTAGATTCTATTTTTCCCTTAACCTCAAGACTACCATAACCATAACTTCGAGTCC